TGATTTTGCGGATCGCAAAATTTTTTTACAGAATTTAAATACGCACAAATGAAAAATTCGGATATACCGATTTCACAAGAAAATCAAGGAAAAATTAAAAAATTTAGAAACATATATTAATTTGAACATAATCAGAGTTGTGCAGAATTACAATTGAATTAATGTAGGAATTATAAATGCACAATGTAATTCAATTACGTCGTAATTCAATTATGTTGTAATGCGTAATGCAGTCTTTTATTTAATTAAATTATAATGTAATTCATAATTTCAATTGTAATTAAAATTACAAAGTGTAATGTAACAAAATTAATTACAAATTATGATGTAATTGAATTATTTAGAATTACGAATTAAGGAATGAGAAGTTGAAACAGAAAGCAATTATTATGTGTGATAGATAGGATATTACTTATAAATTCACAAATCTTAACAGAAGTAATATCTGTATTACGTTTTCTTGAAATTCAAATATAAATATTTCAAAAATGAAAAAGAAACAACATTAAACACGTCCCTATTATACTCAGTTTACGATATATATTAAAGAGAAAAAGTAACGACAATCACCCGATGTAACTTATTTAACAAAATTAATGTATAGATAAAATGAAATACATTCAATACCCAACAGGAAGAAATTGAAGAAAGAACACTTTTAGCTTGTCAGACTAATTAGTAATAGAGTTATATTATTTAATGATAGATTCACATATTATCAGTTAATTTTAAATTTTTATGAATATGGACGTCAAAGCTATCCATACTAATACTTTCTCACATATCCCTACTCATTTTGCAGAAAATGAGCATATATTTGAAAGATAAACATATAAATAAATTAATATAATTTTGTGACATTTTAATAACGTTTTAATGACAACCTAACAACATTTTTAACGTCAATAACACGTAAAAACATTATTAATTACAATATCATTCTGTTATTTAAGACATTATATTGTTATAATATTACTGTGATTTCAATATTGGTTCAACGTATAATATACAGTAATATTTCCATGATATTATATTATAATACGAAGTATTTCTGATATATTGCAATATTACTGTAATATATTACGGTAATGCTTTATCATACCTATATAGTTATTAGGATAAACATGGCGAATCTTTGCGTTACTCTTTTATATATAGAGCTCTAAGATGAATAATTTTTTAATTTCAATAATATTAATAGTTAACGTAGAACAATCGACACAGACTCAACATTGAAAAAGCATTTACACTTCAACATTCAACATTGTAGCGTCTCGGCAAGTTTCGCTTTAATGTTCTGTACTGTATAAGTTATATTTTTTATGAAAAATAATGTTTTTGTCATTCTTTAATTAACATTTAAATAAATTAGCTAGTAAACTCTAATAAGTACGGTAAAATATCAAAGAGAATCAGACGGCCTCTATTTTAAATGTTCTCTATTCACCATTCGCGACGTCTGCTAATAAATTTCTACATCGTTCTAGAAATTTCCTAGCTAGCGAGAAGGAAGTTTCCATCGTAGAAATATTCTGATCGGAAGAGCTGAGACGACGCGTCGCACTCGTCTGGTACTCAAGACGAGCGTTTAAGTTTTAACATAAATACAACGTCTTGTTTCCGCTTGTTTCGCTATCGTGCGCCGCCACCCCAGCCGGAAATTAAGGGTGTCGCAACAACCGTCTCTCGTCCAATTTCATTAGCCCGTTTCAATTTGATAAGACGTGTGAATAAAGGCATAGGTCGATGATAAATTGTATGCCAGATAAATGAATATCTATGATAAATGAGAGTAAACGCGCAAAATGTTTCAGAATAATTATAATCATATCTTAAAATTGGCGTATCACGCTTTTTTGAAGCCTCTATATTCGTTGAGGCAGTTAAAGTAATCCGAAAATGGTGAATTTTGGTAACAAGGAATTTTCGGGGACGCTCTTTTAAAAACATGGTAAAAATTATGATAATTAAAAAAGACTTAACCAATATGGCGGACGGAAAAGATGCGAAAATCTTAAAGGTTTTCCGATTTCGGCGAAATTTGGATTAAGGGGGCTTACGCGGACGCTGATTTCGAATCCGTGATGAAAATTAGGAAAATCCAAATGGCTGATTCAAAATGGCGGACGGAAAGTGTTGCAAAATACATAAAAATTTAAAAATTTCGGCGAAATTTGAATTAAGGGGGCTTACGCGAACGCTGATTTCAAATCTGTGATCAAAATTAGGAAATTCCAAATGGTTAATCCAAAATGGCGGACGAAAGTGTTTCGAAATACATAAAAATTTAAAAATTTCAGCGAAATTAGGTAAATGGGAGTTACCGCGAACGCTGATTTTAATTCCGTGTTCCAAATTTTTAAATTCAATATGGCAGACGGAAATGTTGCGGAAATCGCAAAGAAATGTAATTATAATTTAAAGCTTAATCGATTATGCTTTGATGTAAAGTTTGTAAGAGAAAATTATATGGTCGTTCAAAAAAAAAAGAATCGCGCGCGTAGCGCTCTGTGAAGTTGGCACCCCTAAATGCGAATATTGGTAATATCATTATTGCATTCGTTTGTCCACTGTTTGTCCACGTTTGTCCACCCGTTATTTTCATTTGTCCACCCTCCAAAAAAAAAGTTATACACATGAAAAGATTGTAACATCCCCCAAGTGATCATTTTTCGAGTTCGTATCGATTACTTGAGAATTCATTTTACTAAATTAATGATTTTTTCGAAAAAATAGGAATGAAAAAATATCAAAAAAAACGAAGAACAACTGAATAAGATTAAAAGAAGACGAAAATCATCGTCTTCATGACTATTTCAAGAAGCGGGGAAAAATTAAAAAATATAAAAAATACGAAAATCAATAATTTAAAATGAAGACAGTTAATTAAAACTAACGGAAAAAAAGGAAAAAACAAATAATAATCTCATAAATTAGACAAATCCGGAAAAAAATTTTAAGGATGCATAAATGCTTAAATTTTTTAAAAAATTAAGTAAAGAACCTTGTAATTTTAGGGGGATTAACAAACCAGTTTGGTCTTTTCCAGATTTGTTTGTGTATCTCCAATAATTCTGAATCGCGCGCGTAGCGCGCGCAGGAAAAGGCTAGTACTCTATAAAAAGCCATTATATTTCCGTCGTGGGCGCAACTATATTTTACTATAAAATTAAACTAAATTTTAATTAAAAATTGTTTCTTAGAACAAAATTTTATTTGAGAATCTTGTTATACATAAATAGAATTAATTTATTATATAACACAGTTCACAAAATAAAAAGATAGCTGAAAATTGTATCAAAAGAATTTATGTATATCAGATATATTAGCTGAGAAAAGCACTAATAACTAAAATTTATCAAATTATAATTAAAATTTTCACGATTTCAGCGATAAATCTGTAAATTCTTTCGAACATATTCTAAGCATAAACGTCTAGAAATATTGCTTCATTCATGCGTTTTTCTGCGTATTCAAGTTGCACGGAAGTTGCAAGCTCTCTGCGCTTCAAGTTGCTAACTCCTCAATTCTATCTCTTCTCATCTATTCATGGGACAGTTTCGCGACATAACATTCTTTCTGTAAATTTGGCTTAATCGCATCCTTTCTCTTTTCGCTCTCGTGTTCTCGCTTGAATAAAGATTTAAATATTAATCGTCATCTTACTCATTCTTTGTTGAGAAAATTGTGGTCTATTTATTATTCCAAATATTTGCCTCTCACTGTGGCTAATTAATATCTTAATTGGTTTCCGTAAAATCTATTTTGAGCTGCCGTGGTTGAGTAAAAAATTCACAAATTTTCCGAGAAAATTACTAATATGGCACATCGCGTCAACTGTAAAGAGGTAGTGGGCGCACCTAAGATGAGACGGTTCGCCATCAATTAGCCTTGATGCGCGCGATATTGAGACTCGCTTCCTTCCTTCTTGTTCGGAACTCTATACTTCGCCTAAATGAATGCGGGGTTGCGAAGGATACAGCTGCTGCTACGAGAAAAATATGGCGTCACAAAAATTTCCGACGCAGTTTTCTTTTTTATTTGCACAAGTACATATACGATGATTTATATAAATCATCGCGTTGGTTCAAACCGTATCTTATACCGCGTGCGTATATTTCTAAGATATTTTTTCGCTTACCACGTGTAATAGAAATCTGCTAATTTATTATTATTACAATAATATGTAATTTGCTGCTTATAATGTCATTAATGAACACTAGTGATTAAATTACCATTCTTCTATAAAAGTCGAAAAGCAGTAAATAATGTCAGAAATACACCGTTATTCGTGTTTTTAATAAAGTAGATTTACAGTAATAGCATTCAGTTTGTTGTATTTTATATAATAAATAACTCGATAATTTTGAAAAGATTTACAGAACAATACTACAAGGTTTTATCATATATGAAAAAATGTATTAACGAATATATTTTTTTGAATGTATTTTTATAAATATAACGTAGTTAGTTTTACATAGAAAGTAATAAAGTCATTAAGAGCCAACGTGTTTATTAGTGTGGAAGCAAAAATATATTTGTTCACACAAAATTAATCGGAAACGCATATCATGTGCAGTTTTCGTTTTTAATTAATAATATATGTATTTTACTTGCGCACTGATAACTTTGTTGGCTTTTAGTATAGACTTTTTTCATCTTTTATGTTAAATTTATTCTTCCCTTCTTTATTTTATATTTATGTTTTCATAAATAATAAGTAGAATCACATTTGAATAGAATGGCTTACAACTTTTATATGATTTCTATTACTAATAATAATAGGAGAAGAAAAAATGGTTTCTGATATTTTTTACTGATATTACAATAAATTGAACTTTTCTTAAACAAATTTTAAATACAACTTTCTTAAATATAAAACAGACAGAATTTAAAAAGAAATTATTTTTTGCTATCTGATAGCAAATAATTTCTTCCTTTACAGTACTTTATTTTATAAATCTCATAGACGGGAATAACATTTCCCCTTACGTTTTTAGGCAACCATCACCGAGTTCCGGCACGACTGGCACCTCGACGGTATCGTCGACGACTGGCGAAGGGGACATAGCACAGAGTATCGGAATGTATCCAGTGAGCGTCGCGACGTCGTCAGCTGTGACAACGGCGACGCCGGTAACGACAGCGTCGGCGATCGTGCCGCTGACCACCTCCGGCCTCGCCGCTGTAAGTTCTGGCATCGCCAGGAGCGTTTCCGCGCCGAGCGCACCGCGGCCGGTCATCCAGATTAGTAGCTCTTCGGTGAGTGCTTCGGCAACGCAACGGCCAAAGTTGAAAAGAAATCAAAGCCGCACCGAGGCCATTCGGAAGTGAGTATAAATCGATCGTGACAAGATCTTGTTTTCCAAAATTTCTTAATTCGTCTACTTTTTTACTAATCTATTTTTTAATTAATCACTTTTTGAAAGAAATGGTATGTTGCGATATAAAAATTGTGATCATGAGAATGATTCACACAGTGCAAAGTATGTTTTTAAAAAAATTTAAAATATCGAGTATTACATTGAGAAACTCATTTGACCGAACCCAACAAAATTTTTTGGTTGATCGATTTTGTTGATTAAATTTATAATATGTTTGTGTTAACAAAAAATTATGATGTAAAGGTCATTGCATGTAAAAGTTTTAGTTATAATCGTAAAATGATAAGAAGAGAGCGATAAATTGATTGGCTATGAGCCAAGCGATAAGTCACGTGACTGTCTTCCCGTTGGGTGGTCATAAGGACAAAGCATTAATCTTTCGAGATGAAAACTTGTGATTATGACCAATATTCATAATCTGTTCTTATTTTGAAACTCTCTCAAGTAATGTCTTAAGATGCTAATACGGTCTTCTGCGATTAATAACATCTTAAGTTCTGGAAATAAGAATTGACTATGAAAACTGATCTATGATCACGCGACTTTGAGGATATGACGCGACGTTTCGCTCGCGTTGCTTCTCCGCAGAGAACGTGGCAATGCTTGACGCCGATGCAATATAGTTAATCAATTTATCGCATTTTACAATTTTGCGATTACGACTAGGATTTTTAAGTTCAATGGTCTTAAGAAACAAATAAAATATTGCCATAACAAAATTTTTTATATGGGGTTGTTTTAGTCCAGTCAAATTAATATTTTATCTCGCAAAAAATGAGAGATTTATGGGACCATCGATACAGTATCGTTACAGCCTACGTCACATTCGTCGACAGTTTGTTTGCGCACAAAATTATTGCCTACAGCTTGGTTATAAACAATACATGTTCTATTGCATAATATATAACTAAGCATAAATATATAACTAAGAGGAAAGGAGACATTTTTATACACACAACATTATTGTCTATAGCCTATAGATTGATTGCCTATAAGCATTTATTTGTGCATAAAAAAAAATTCAGAAACGATATTACATTTACTTCATTATAGATTTTACGAGTTCATTAACGTTTCTGTAATCAATAAATAAATAAAGGTTACTTTAATCGTGATTACTATCATATGTGTTATTTATACATATGTGAGTAATATACTTCTTGTTTCCGAGAACGCTCCGTTATTTAAATAAGTATAACATTCATTTTTATAACAATAATATTTTAATTTAAAATTACGTTTTATAGCAAATAAATAAATTACGAAAGAAAACGTATTGAGCTTCTTGTTTTTTTCTTGTTTTTATTCATATATGAACAACGTGGTAGTCAATATAATCGATAGAAGCAACTTGCATTTAAAGTAATGTATAGATACGTGAATTTGATAGGTATACAATATCTTTACAAAATTTGCAGCTATATTAAACGCGAGACAGCGCAGTTCTTCGGGGTCGATGAGGAATCGGAAGCCGCGGAGAAGCAGAGATGGCTGGATCGACGACGACGTATGGCGTCGCGGAAGTACGGCGCTCTGGTACCGGAACACAGACCGCCGGATCCGGACATCACTCGGGACGTACCGGACACTACCGAGACACCGGAAGTAAGTGCATTGTGCCACGAGAATATACATTCTATCGTGATCATAACAGTATGAGCGATCGTAATCGATAATAACTGGGAGTTTGACTGCATCAAAAAGCTAAGCCATATTGGTAGGTTTTGAAAACTAAATCGGACCTATTTGCAGTTTTTGTTCTTTATAAGGCGTAAATAAAGTCCGATTATAAAGCTAATGATGCCGTTCGAAAGATCATTTAATTTCCTTCATTTTTGCTTCAGACCATTTTGACGTATCTCTTACTTGTATCGAACTATAATGGAAAATGTAAAAATGCATTTTGCGGTCCGATTTGGAACCATATTTTTATAAACTTTTAGATAGAATTTTAAAATATTTTAATTAATTTTTGTTAGTATTGAGTAAAAACGAGCAATTTAAGACTCAAAGATAAAAATACAGTTTATATTATTAGAACTAAAATCAATAAAAAATTCCATCAATCTGAATCTGATGACACATGATATTTTATTGATTTAGTATCCCTTAGACCAGATCTGGTCGGTCGATCACCAATAATAAAAGTAATAAAAAATTTAGATTGGGTTGTTCCACCTTTTGATATACTTCAGAGCTTCGGTTCACTGTCTTATTCTGTTACTCTTTCTTATGCACTTATTTTTTTACTCTTTTGTTTGTCCAGTAGTTCATCATATAGTTTTTGGAAAGTAGAACAACCGGCCCTTAATAATTTAACAAGGAAATAAACATACCGATGAAACCCGTTCAGATGACTTTAACTTTGACATATCAAGATTATCACTTTGAGTGACTCTAACAGATTTTTGTCGTCTCATTATTCATTAAAAAATTATTATCAGAAAAGTTTAAAAAATAATGTCTTATTTTTGCTACATTATTAAAAACTATCCTATATCTTTCCTTACGTACGTAATGGCTTTCTATGCGAAGCGAGAAATCCTAATTCTGTCCCTGTTTAGAAGTGTCCGACTTTCTACGCGAAACAAAATTCACCCGCATGAAAAGTCGTTACGCTTCTAGGCAGGAAAATGTAGGGTAAATCTCGTTTCGCATGGAAAGTCGTGCGCCTCTAGGCAGGAGAGAAGATGAGGGGTGGACCTTGTTTCGCGAAAGTCATAAAATATATTTTAAAAAAGAAAATTTTTGTTTTAAATATTATATATATATGAGAAAGAGAGAGAGATATATAATTTTTTGGTTAATAGAAAGAGACAAACTTTTTTGTTAATAAGTTTATAACGAATAACGATGGTTAAAACCTGTTGAAGGTCACTCAGGATTATGGGTATGTTAAGTTAGCACCCCAACTATACTCGTAGTACTCAGGAGTTCTGATTAGAATTCCCATTTCCTTTTGACGAGACGAAGAGTTCCCTATAGTTAATAACAAGAGTTCCGCTCAATAAACATTTTTTTTACATTTTTTAAAATGGGGTGCTAACTTTTTAACGAAATTCAAGGTCGCATAGTTCTGATCAGCTTAACAGAACTATTTTGTGAATACCTAGAGTTCTTGATACATAAAAAACATTTTTAAAATATAATAAAGTTTAAAAAAGATAGTGGAAATCTTTGAAAATTTTTTGGGAGTACCGAGTAGTTCTGAGTAGCGTTTCTTATAGTACTCGACGAGTTCTATCGAAAACTGTAAGGTGGAAAAGCGATTGGACCAACGGTTTCCGAGATATACTCACTCTAAAAATTGTTGATCTTCCGATAAATGTCACTGTATCTTGCAAACCGTTGGTCCAATCGCTTTTTCACCTTACAGTTTTCGATAGAACTCGTTGAGTACTATAAGAAACGCTACTCAGAACTACTCGGTACTCTCAAAAAAATTTTCAAAGATTTCCACTATTTTTTTTAAACTTTATTATATTTCAAAAATGTTTTTTATGTATCAAGAAGTCTAGGTATTCACAAAATAGTTCTATTAAGCTGATCAGAATTATGCGACCTTGAATTTCGTTAAAAAGTCAGCACCCCATTTTTAAGAAATTATTAAAAAATTATTATTAAGCGCATATGTCATTAAAAATCATAGAGAACTCTTCGTATCGTCAAAAAGAAGCAGAAATTATTATCAGAACTATTGTATCTAAAAATTAATTTTTCAAAAATTTTTAATTTTTTTTTAATATTCGAAAATTTTTTTTACATATCAGGAACTCTAGGCAATCGCAAATTGAATCTATTAAGCCGCTCAGAACTATTCCACCTCGAAATTCGATAAAAAATTAGCACCCCATTTTTAAAAAATGTTTATTGAGCGGAACTCTTGTTATTAACTATAGGGAACTCTTCGTCTCGTCAAAAGGAAGTGGGAACTCTAATCAGAACTCCTGAGTACTATAGTTGGGGTGCTAACTTAACATACCCCAGGATTATGACCTTGACAACGTACGTCAAAATCAAGATTATTGAGGCAGACTCCATCCATTGGCATATTTAACAAGGAAATTAGAGATTTCAGAAAATTACGATAAAAAATACATTTCTGAATATTCATAGGGTGTTACTCTCAGACGATGGCAGCAACCAGTACGGAGGAAAGATTCTGTAGCGAGGATGACGCTGTCAGGTCTTCATTACATCGTCGAGGTGAGTTATTGTTTCATTTTTACCTTTTTAGTCTTAGCTGTGACAAAATCTGCTTTAATAATTGTTTACTTTTATGAAATATTATATATTCCTATTTTGTTAAATTATTTAATACAACGTTTTGTGAAATTGATATTTGTCCAATTAATTGTTGTACCAATTAAGAAATACAAAAATCTGTCAATTAATTTTTAAATTTGTTAAACATTATTACAATAAACTTTTAATTAAGTATTGCTTAATTGTAAAAGTTAACACATAGTGTATTTAGAACCTGAAATATTAAAATTCGATTAATTCGGCCAGCCTGTCCTTTTGTGCAATTTTATCTTTGTGCAAATTTATTTTATAGTGTCAAGATTGCTAATCTCGACAAAAAGATACGAAATAAACTTATGATAAACATACATTGTAATTTTTTAATACACAACAATAATAATAATAGTAATAATAATAATAATATATTATATAAGTAGGTAATAATAATATACATAAGTCCATGGATGAATTTATTAGGTTCACAGGTCGAGTGCAGTCGCGCGACAAAATTAACCGGCTGGGTGTAAATCGCTTTCGTTGAATTACATTACATTAACCCTAAAGTTTAGATTAGCCAAAGTAGTGTAATATTCCAGTCATAAAAGTGGAGCGATCCGCACGCCTGTCGCCCCATTATGTAACTTCGCTTTTAGTTTACGCTAGAAGGGCTTACCTATTTCTACTCGTGCCTACTTTGTGCTCCTTCGAAACTAAAACAAAATTTCACCTTCAAATTATCCAGGTGTTTCACCACTCGTGATTATTTTACAAATATTACGCTGTGCTATAATCGCTTATGGAAGAAAGTAGTTAAACATACCTGTAAATTTAATATATTTAAATTAAATTTATAAATACAGGACTCTTAGTATTCAAAATATAATAAATATAGGTAAAAGGCTAATAAGAGTCAAACATTTAAAATTAAAAATTGAATCAACGCTAATATATTGACATAAAACTATATAAAAAAATTAACACAAGAAATTAAACATTAATAAAATTATGCAATGCGTTGGATAATACATAATAAATCAGACATGTTTCAGCCTCGGGTTTTGGCCCTCCTCAGATATATAATATTTAAAACACAGCATAACATTATAACTAATTAGGAACGGTTTTTGTTTATATATTACGACATTTATCCTAAAACATATCCAAACGTTCGTAAAATTAATTGTTAAATAAAAATATTTTATAATTGTTAAACGAAATAGATAAATACTTTATTGCGATACAAACATAAAATGATAACAATAAATCGAATCGTGTTCTCATACCGAAATTCGGCCAACACTTGTACATATAATGCTCTGCCAATTATCTCGAAATGTGTTTGAATTTCTACTTTTTCGGTCTTTCGATTAGCCAATCGAAATAGCCATTTGAATTCATCCAGCAGCGGTTGCACACGCGCACATTGCACGATGTATTTCTCTCTATAGACTATGCGCGGACAGTTGGTCGGCCATGTTTCAAAACTTACCACTTAACTTGAACTAGGCGAAGAACGACTGGAGCATGTATCGCCACAGGAAAGTGTGTGCCTTCCTTTCGTATACATGATGACCCATTAAAATACTTCATGCGCGACCCAAAAAGCGTTGGCGTTGTCGCGGTCGAAGTCAGTTCTAAGTCAAGCGAAAAATTCACGGTCGCCCATAATCATTTTTATATATTAAGACACGCCGTCTTAGACGTTTTAAAAACGCTTTTATCGCGAATTATTTTGACCCTTCGGCATCGATGAAAATATCCATTTCGCAATCATTATTTGATGAGCAATTTGTGCGCAATGATTGAAATCATTTATGTCATTAGTAATTAACGACTAATAATATCTAATACTTAATTTAAATTTAAACTTATTAGAAAAGGTTACACTTTCATTATTATGTATAATAATATATATTACATAATTATTTAAAAAGTGTTAAATTAACTATTATCCCTATATATATGATATATGGTTATTAGAATATAATTTTACATGAACCATATTATCTTACTTATTTGTATTTATGTGTGTGTCAAAGTAATTATAAACCGCATATACCTGTATTAAAATTAATAAACCAATAAAAATGTTGTTAATGCTTTCAATATTTGCAGTTACAGTTACTCTAAAATATACTAAATAGAATTTTCAGAAACGTGTGACTAAAACTTTATGCAATTACTGTTTCTAAAATTTTTTATTCTCGTTTAGTCAGAAATATGGTAACTGCATAAAGCTTTTAGTCATACGTTTCTAAAAATTTCCACAAAAATTCTAACAGTGCAATGTGTTAAATATGTTTTTCGTTGTTACTTTGCATTACATTGCACACTGAACGTTTTAAACGAGCGGAACGATTGAATGATTTCCGCCGATAATTCCGTATTGTCCGGCATTCGATTTTCTGCGATACCATGAAATTATTACGTGAGTACTGAACACAAAGCGGCGAAAGTGAGGTCCGAAAAACGATACGAATTAATTTTGCCACGATCCGTTCCGCGCGATCAAATCACAATTCCGCGATTCTCGCAATTGTGCTCCAGTAATAACGAAATTTATTAAGCGGAAACAGTCTGCGCGTTGCTTAAACTGTTTTGTAAGCTTCCTTTTTTAATAACGATCATAATATTGAATCTAGAGCAAAAGCTTTACAAAACATATTTCTATCATATGCACATAACATATATTTCGAAATAGATTAGTACACGATTTTTCACATTGGCGTGTATTTTTTAATAATTATTCCATTTATCACTAATTTTTTATTATAAAAATAATTATAATATTTAGAAATAAAATATTTATCAACTCAACACTGATTGAAATAAATATTTTGATTAAATCAACGAAACATACCAATAAAATTGACACTTTGATTATTATAACTAGAAATTCTGTTTGATCTTGCCAATCCTTGTTAGTTTGCAAAAAATTTTCTCAGTAAACGTTAAAGAATAATTAATATAACATTAGTAATTAATATATTATTTTATTAATTTTACGTTACTAATATTATTAATATACATATATTTCTAATATATATTAGTAATGTAACAGTAATAACATAAATAATAATTAATGTTTGCGTGCAATGCGAGCGTGTGCTTCTATCGTATTTCTTGCTTATGTTAGTCTTGTTATACTCCGTCTTAATATAATATATTCTATTACAAACGTCTGCATTATAATCGTAGATAGAAAAGTTCGTAACGTAAAAAGCTGCTCACTTTATGTGCCAACAACCGAGTGAAAATAACGACCTTTAAAATAGTTAAAACTCGTCCAAAAATGCTGCAATATTGCGCTCTGATTAAAATAACACCGATGCTGCTTAATAATGGAATTTATTAGATTTCTGCTAATAAATTACACCGCTGTCTCCTTATTACTCTACGCTCCCCCACGCTCGGACGATGTAAATTTTAATAAAAAACTCACGCGTGCACCGCGCCGTCATTAATTACGTCCCTTCAGTGGGATGCATAAAAGGCGAGTAAAGCGAGTTACGAGGGTAATCTACTCCCTTCGTTACGCCGCCCTAAGATTTAAAATACTTCGTTACGTGCGTCGGACGCGACGCCGACATCTCTCTCTCTCTCTCTCTCTCTCTCTCTCTCTCTCACACCATCTTTTTTTTTAATTTCGCGAAAATAGTGAATTGTGCGCATTGTCGCATTCGTGCGAGAGGTAAATAAGCAAATCCTACCTCCGACGACATAACGAGATGCAAAATGATTTACCTTATCCTTGATTCTGAAGGTTTAGTTATTTAATTTGTGCAGATATTTTTTTTACATTTACAAAAGAAGTTCGACAACTTAGAAAATTTCTAAAAATCTGAAACTTTGCAGAAGTAAAGTATTCCTAAACTTTTTTAATTATACAGTGATTCTCTATTTCGGCTGAGAAACGGTTTCAAGGATGAAAACACTTCTTCAAAGAATATTTGACTTTTCATATTTCTATTAATAGAAAGATCTGAAAAATTCTGAACGAAGTTTTGAAAATACAATATTAAATGACAAATCTACCATTTTTCGTGGTATAACGTAAAAAGAAATACAAAAAGATTTAGTAACGTTCTTCTACTAGTCTTTTAAGAGGATTCTAAAGACGATTAGTCATATTGGAAATAGCACTTAACGCTCGAACTGATAACAACTTGTTGTCATGAAGAATTTAACGAAAATCGTGTAAGTTCTTAACTCATTGTACTGTAATTTAATTTGTATATTTTGTAATTTACACCAATTGTTCAATTAATGTACCAGGCAATATATATGATAATTCCGTTAAAGAGATTGTAGACTACTAGAATTGTACAGACATTGATAAGGATCCGAAATGAGATCGAAATATGTATTTGTAATTGGAATTGTTATCTAATTTTGAATAAACCAAGTTACACACAAACGACCAGTGACTGGCTCTATAAGGTATTATTTATCGATTATATGACACATCTTTATAGAGTTTTATTAATTATATTAATTTAAATAGCACTACACACTGACGATTCATGTCGTTAACACACCAATATTTCACTCGCGCATGCCACATATACATATAAATTTTTATATAACAATTACGTTTTAATTAGATAACTAAGTTCAGTTTTAAGTACTCTATGCTGTTTCTCATGCAAACTATTAGCCTGCGGAATACTATTTAGATAGGATTACTTTATTAAATACAGATTGCACAGCTTTTTTATAAATCAAATATTGTCACGACGTGCAACGACGTGACAACTTTAGAACGCCATATTGGACAAAAATGATAAAAAGAACTCAATTTAGAAATTTTTTATCGTATTCAGTGTAGACTTCATCTCACATACACGTATAGTGGTGAAATGTTAAAAAAAATATTTGTTTTGTCGTAGAGAATTTTGAACTTTTATACTTAATATTTTTCAGTTACTCTTTACACAGTTTCTTATGTGAGGTATTAATAAGAATACAGAAAATCAAACTTTTAATGGGGTGTTTCGATCTCTAATGTTTATCGTCAAAACAAATTATTATAATTACTTCCATATGTATATTTTATTTCTGTAAAGTTTGAATTTTTAGAAATTTTTGGGTTTCTTAATTGTCAGTGGTATTTTTGAAAAGATTTCGATTACATATGAAAAATATACAAGTACCAATGTTTTTTCTGTAAATTTCAACATCTCTGTGGACCTGATAGAAACATCAGCTTGGATATTCTAACTGCGTGTATTTCGAAGTAGTAACTGCGTGGTCGCGTCTATCGACGTAGTCGTTAATGCCGGATTATGCAGATCTGAGTTTAATTATATGCTCGCAAAATGATGGATTTTCCAGTGAATGCTCATTACACGTTTGCTATCATCGCTGATCGATATCATTGGTGAACCAATAATGTAATCTAATAATATTATCGGTACGAATTAATCAGGTCTCGAATTATTGTCGATCATTACCGTTAAATCAAATCTTTTAAAAGGTAATTTTCTCATCTTCTTTTCAACAGCTTTCAATAAAAACTTTACAATCTTGTTGTTCCATTCGGGTAATATTTAATTTAACTTTGATAAATAAAATGTTTTTAATTCTACATAATTGACTCTATATTAAGTATATTATTTCACTTTTGAAAATTAATAGAAATAAATGTGTAAATAAAATTTCGATTTAATTGTTAAAATCTAGTGGATATTAGATATTCTTTATGTATATAACGAATAAACAAGTAAGTATCATCAAATTAGGATATTAATGAGGAGCCAACGATGTCATCACGTTGAATAATAACATTGAATTTATCTTCAGTCTAACGTCAATATAAATATCTTATATCTTTACTTGTTAAAAATAATTTGATATATTTAACATGGGCAAAGAATGTAAATGCGAGATATGTGTTTTTTTATTATAATGGCGGATCCATTAAAGTGGAAAAATTCCGAAAGCGAGACTATGCCTTTGTGAAATCCAACGGAATTTAATTTCGTGCATGCACGGCTTGCGGGAATTAACATTCGTCCTGTTTATTGCTTCGTATCGAGCTTTTCCGATCGGATTTTATACTGTCGCGGTATGGTTCTCGGTCATTAATCGTTACTCTCGCAATTGAACGCCGTATTTTGAAAAACGTGCCAGGCCGTTTTCCAAAATTGAAAGCCTTTCATCTTTTGTTATCGCTTCGATATTGATTTAAAAAATTTCTTACAGAAAGATTTCAAGAGGAGATTGGCTTAAAATTTATGGAAGAATGGAAAAAAAATGGTTTTACTGAAGCATCTAAAAATTTATCTAGATATATATCTAAAAATAATTATGTTGGACCATTTAAATAATTATATTCAACGCCCAAATTGGTTGCGAGAATGTCAAAACTTTTGCATCATCATCATGCTTGAGCGTGCTACTTAATTATTTTGATGGTCCAACATAATTGTTTTCAAATTTTTATTTAACCTAATTTTTGTAATAATAATTATAAATATACACCGAGAAATGTTTAACACGAATAAGCAAAGAAGATCGTATTCGGTCAAAATGGATATAATCTTTGTGTCCAATTATTCATTACTATACTGAAATTAAATCAATAAAGTTTTTAGTAATACATAATGTTTACGTGTTCCAACAAAGCTATTCTTTCTATTTGATAAAATTTATATTAGCTTATTTTGCGGAAGTTTATATTTTATCGTATATACGCGTGGATTCGCTGTACAAAGACGTCGTCATCTCGTTAGTCGAAAGACACATCTAATGGTCAAAGAAACAATAATATATCGGCGAAAGTTGCCAACTTAAATTGCCGTTTAATATCGCTTTTAGTTTTACAAAGTTTCGGGATGACGGGAAGTGCATGGTCAGACACGAGTGCGACTGGTTTGCACTTACTATTGACTGGTAGCAGCGAGTAGTAGGTGTCAGCGAATGGACGATCGGTTGAACGGCGCGTGAGTGCTTTCGACAGCTCTGACAGTTTATTAGTGGTATCGAGACTGTAACTGGGATGTAGCGCAGTTAGCGATTGCCACGAAACTTCGAACGTCGATTTCGAACGGTTTGCTTCAACGTTACCGTAAGACAGCTCGCGTGCCTCGACCATCCTGTTGAATCTATCAACATTTAAGAAATCGAGCTATCAAAAATTATTTAATTTCTCCGGTAGACGCCTGAGATTTATCTCGATAAAAAATAAACTTTCTTTTTTAATGAAATTTATTTTTGATTGATAAATCTCAGACTTCAAGATAAAAAAGATTTTGGCCGATAAAAGATTTCCTACTTAATTAGATTTATTCTCATCGGTTTAATTTAGAATTATAAATATTGCTTTCAAAATTTTTCAAAAAGGTTCATTCTAAGTATTGATTAATTTTCTTATATATTAATAATTATATAGATGTCTGAAAAAATATGTTATTCATTTGAAACTTTTCTTTTATTTGCTTTTGGTTTTATTCCGTTATGTCTAATCATTTGTGAGATATATCTAACTATTTTAATTTTTTCTATTTAATCTTGTAGCATTTTAACGTTCAGGAATTTGAAAAACTACAGCTTTTTTACTCACTATATATATAAACTTTAGATATAGCTATTTCTCTAAATGATTTTTAGGTGGAATTTCGCCATATTTATTCCACTTTAATATTTCACTTTAATCCTTAATTTTTTTCCAATTCGTTGCTGTTGCTCATATTTTGTCTTTAAAAACTGTTTAGCCTCCATGTAAAAAATTAACAGCATTAATTAACAGCAGTCTAATTAAAAATAATCTTATTAATTTTTAATAATTGTATTAATGAAATAAATACCATTCTATTAAGACAAGAGCATGGCATATTTGTTAATACAGCAGTCTTCAACATCATTATCCCCTGCATTCGTGAGAATTTCTTTTGGATCATATTGTTACCGTTAACAGAAGTGCGAGGAAATTGGTATTTTTGGCGAATGTATTCAGATAATTTTCAACAGTACGAATATCGCGACTCTGTTTAATTGAAGCACGTATGTTCCCAGTCGTTGAGAAGGCAGCGTCCTCGCGAGCGCTCGCAATCACGTCCGGAATCACGCAGCTTCCCGCCGAGCACGATTGCGTATCTGTCGAGGACAGATCCCGAGGACAGGCCAGACAGCGGCCAGGACGAAGACGAGTCCTTCTTCGAGAGGCCCCCGCCGCCACCGCCGCCCCTTCCGCTTCCGCCGTTATCTCAACAATCGCAGACGCAAATCGATCAAGCTTCCAGCGGACTGGTCAAAGATGAAGAGGTCGGCGTGAAAATAATGAATATTCTCGACTCTACGCAGGATCGCGAGGGGATTAGTACCGAAGAGTTAGTTGGGTAGGTTTTACGAGATTAAGGAATTCTTCAAATGTTGCAATATGTGTTAGATATTTAAAAACGTCACAATTTTTAAGAATCAATAATGACGGGCCAATTCTATCTACGTCTCATTCGTGATACACAGACATACACATCTATATTTTACCATATTTTGCCTTGTAAAAAAGTACCCTAAAAAATACAATACTTTTTATAAAAAGAGAAATATGTCAAGTACATGAAAATGGTATCGAATATCACGTTCTTCTTTTCAAAAACAGATATGAAATAAATGCAATTAGCCAAGTACAATATTTCATCACTCAAGATACACAAGATAGACTAAAGGTAATTAAAATGGTCAACTGAATTATTGTAAAGAAAAACCCGAGTCGCATTAAAACGCAATGTTCTAGAATCAATATATGTTTTCATAGTACGGAAAATTATATTTATCTCAATTGCACTATTGTAGAACAAATATCAGAACGAATTCTTATTTTGTTCTTTTTTTTTTTTAAATTCTCTCTGTACGCACCCTGCGGGCGATTTTCCTGATGACATATAAATACTAAGAATATCGCAATTACGATTTTCTTATAATAATATATATTTTGTAATTTAAATAACTGTAATTTAAACAGAAATTTGTTCTCAATAGATGTTCTCGTTATGTTTTCTGTCAACATTTAAAAATTCTGTAAACTTTTGGAAATTTTTTAGGAAGAAATTATAGCTGTCAGATTTTTTAATTTTTGAACAGCAAAACATTAAATGCTTTCTTTACGTAGGTTTGCACAGCAAAAGAGTGACAGGACGACGGTCGATGGACAAGTCAGGCGACCCCGTTCGATCACGAGGGACCACTATATTTCGAGGTGAGAGAGAGAGAGAGAGAGAGAGAGAGAGAAAGTGTTCTTTTCCTTCTTTTTACCTCTTAATATCTTTTTACTCTTTAATATCATATCTTCTAATGACTAATTTAACAAATCGAAAATAACGTTTCTCTAAGTATCATGGAGATAAAATTGCAATTACATATAAATTAAATAAAAAGCAAGATCCTATTATGTACAAGTATCGAAAATATACTGAATTTATGTGTGATTAAAGTGTTGTAAAATCGCAAACATTTCTAGTAGCATAAGTTTCCAATTTCTAAGTGTTTGTTTGCCTTTGAATTCTCACAATCCAAGAGCTACTGATATTTGGACATTGGAAAAAGGTACACGCGATTTGGATGATCGCAAAACGTATTTTGTACTTAAACAAAAGCAATTTGTAAAGTAGATTTGTCGTTGACCGATAAACGCGCAAACATGTACAACAAGAAAGAGATTACAGAAAAACAAGTTGGAGCAGGTCGAAGTACGACGCGCCTCCGGCGGAAAGTACAAGGGTGCCGCAAGAGGAGGGGGTGACTCTTCGTAACCGAGAGATAGCTGGGGCCACAAGGATCTCCCGTAGCACGATCGATCGTGTCTTCGACAACAGTAATCGACGACGATACGGGATGGGTATTGTCGGTCGCTTCTTTGGGTACATTTATATTTTATCCCTTATTGCGAAGTGTGAAATAAATTAAACTCCAGTGAGAAATACACTGTTTCAATTGAAGACTAATTAATTGACCGTGTAAGACTATAAACGTTCCACGAAAAAGTGAAATCTAAGTAGTTTTCAATTATAGCGTAAATAATGTAATAAAATTTATTAATGGAATAAATATTACATATTACGGATATCGTTATTGTAGAGAAAACGTTTTGTCCATTGACAGAATCGAAACATATTAAAAGTTTGATAAAAAGTTATTAAAACTTTATCATTTTTTCTATTATTCCAGGCGATCTTTTCGAAAAAGCGTTGCGCACAAACCAAACATAAAGAAACAGTTAGACAATTTCGAGGATCATCGACCGTATTTCACGTACTGGATCACTACTGTGCAAGTATTGATTCTGATAATATCGCTGGCGTGTTACGGATTTGGTCCTGTCGGGATGGATCTCGACCATCGATCGGGATTGGTGAGCAGATGAAACGATTCCTATTTACTAACTACAATTATTTGCGATTGTTATTCACTTCTTAAAAACTTTGTTTGAAGTTTTATTATGTTTGTTGAAAAACTAATCTTGCTAAGAATAAATTTAAACGTTTTATGTGCACAATAGAAGATAAAACTTTCTTTTCATCTACACTGAATCAAGATAAATTATGTCTACTTCATTCTTATAGAATATAAGAAGTGAATAATATGACACTTTAAATTACAACTACAATAATACTTTCAATTTTTATTTATGATAAAATTTTGTTTTTTATATATTCTCTAATTTTTTAGAAAAAAAATTTTTTTTTTTAAATATTAAGGTATATATTAAAATCTCATTTTATAATTTCTAAAAAATATATAAAATCTAAACGAACTTATGAAGCTATTTTTTTGCAGCTTTTTTTTCAGAAATCTTTATGTCTAAGATATAAAAAAAATGTTTTTAATGTTATGAGAATGTTTACACAAGGATATGTAGTTGCAGTTATTTGAAATATTTTAAGCTACATTTAAATGTTTAAGCATTGTTTTTTGTTTATTTAACAAGAAATGAGTGGATGATTTTAGATTCTTTCTGTGAGGATTGAACATATATGATTGAAAAAATAATTGGATTGTGTCCAGGTTCTTGTAACGAGTCTGTCGTTACAACAAGTCGACTATCAGGAACCCGCGAACTTCTGGCTGGGGCCTAGGGCAGCAGATCTCATTCATCTTGGTGCCAAGTTCGCACCGTGTATGCGTCGTGATATCAAGATCCTAAAAGAGATCGATGTATGGCGGGAAAGAGAACGGGATACTGCTTGTTGCATCAGAAATGACGATTCCGGCTGCGTTCAATCCAGCAAAGCAGATTGTTCTGTAAGTTTCCCGATTTTTTTTTTAGCACTTGTAACATCCCATTAAATCTTCAGGGCTATGTATATTCATGATAATAAAATTTTCTTCCATGCGCGCCCAACAGGTCCGAGGATTGAGATCCACTGCTATGGTAAACTACGTAATTTTTATTTTAATTCTTTAGCTTCAAAAAAACACTTGAGTGAAAAAAAGAAAAGGAAATACTTTTAATTTATTGCATTGTGAGCGTTGCAATTTTTCACTATTTGAATAAAAGAACCCTGTATAGGTATATCTTATAAAAATGCGTGCCTGATAAAATTAGCTGAAACTGAAGTAGCTGAAAATTTTGTTTGGACGTCGAGTATAACAATGTATTTCAATTCTAGTCAATTTAACCGGGAGACACATTTCCGTAAAATCGATGCAAAGTCTTTTTATTTTGTACAAATATAAACACAAACTTTGTGTGTTATATTTCGATGTTGTCTCAATTTGAAAGGAAATTTTTTTAAGTGTTTTATATGTTTTATATATATAAAGCACTTATATGTATAATTAATTTTGCAGAAAAAGGCAAGTAACAAAAATTGTTCATTTTTTTCTCATATATATAGTCCTAAAAATTAACAAAAAATTTTTTTAGTACCGCATTTTCTCATGTTGGTAAAAATAGTTGCTAATAATAAAATGCAGTACTAAAAAGTTGATAACAAATTCTGAAAAAATTCTTAGAGCACTATAAGAAAAAAATTTACAATTTTTGTCTCTTGTTCTTTTTCTGTAAAGTTGATAGTACTTGAATAAAAAATTATTGAAGAACAATTTGACAGTTTTTAGAAATTAATAAAATATTTCAAAAGGGTAGAGAACTTTTTGACTCAGTTTAATCCGCTTTATCAGAACGAAATATTTGTTGGTTAATTATCCTGTTTATATAAATATATATGTATATATACACTTTTCGCTATATAATTTATTTGGTTAATAAGTTGTGCACATTTTGTTATTAATTTACGCATGTTTTAATCTAAAAGATTGTTACACTCAAAGAAAAATAGAATAATGATTAGTAATAAAGGTGACAATTATACTAATTTTATATATAGAATTGACGTATACAGTTGTATAGATTATTTTATAATTGCAATAACTATAAAACAGTTTGTTCAGCTGTGTACGCGTGCTATAATTTTACATATAAAAACAATTACAATTATTAAACCGATTAGAATAAATCAATTAAGAGAAATGAAAACCTATTTTTAATTAGAACGAATTTCAAAGCCAGAAAATTTATGTGTCATTCCAACAGACTTGATTTATCAATTTAATCGTCATGTTTATGTTTAAATTTGTTAAAATGGAAGTCTGCCGTTAAGTTTACCGTGCCTTTCAGGCCGATGAGAGCCATTTTGATTTATCAAAAAAAATAGTGCATTCGAAAATAGATATATTTCTCTTGATTGATCTTTTTGATATAAAACTTGTGTAGCTGTCACTTTTATAACTCCTATTATTATTGTATTTTTGTTGAATGTATCCAATAATATTATAAAATCTTAGAAATTTTCTCCTTGCTAGCAATAAAATTAATTACAATTATATTATAATTAATCTCGCAGAACACAATATCGACCTGGAAGAAGTGGGGACCTGGAGACAGTGGGCCTGGCGGTCGAATCAGTGGATCAGTTTGTGGACTGGACCCTAAGTTTTGCGATGCCCCGGCAAGCATCGCACCTTACGAGTGGCCAGATGACATTACCAAGTGGCCAATTTGTCGGAAAACTAATCCCTTTAACCAACGCTTCAGGTAAGTTTTCTCCAAATTTATTTATTCGTGAATTCTCCAAAGTACAAATGATAAAATACTTCCACACGTAACAAAGTCATTTACGGAAATAGCTAAGCATGTGACAATAAAATTGTTATTCGCAATGATCAAAATGGTTGCAAAAAAGAAAAATATCGAAAAATTTTTTCAGTAAAAACGCAGGTCAACGGAGCAGCAACGCCAATTTTCCGATTGGTCGTTACAAGGATAAGATGGCGGAGCACATGGTGTGCGAAGTAATTGGCCACCCGTGTTGTATCGGGATTCACGGGATGTGTCGGATTACCACGAAGGAATATTGCGATTTTGTCCACGGTTACTTTCACGAGGAAGCGTCTCTGTGCTCCCAGGTGGAATGTTTGCACGATGTCTGCGGAATGATACCGTTTCTGCATCCAGAATGGCCAGACCAGTTCTACAGACTCTTTACCACCATTTTTCTTCATGCCGGGTAATAGTTGATGACAAATCATATTTTATAAAATTTATTTTGAACAAATAAAATGCATTAGTTTCATGCGTTTATTTAATTGTCAAATTTATGTATGATTGATCTCATATTAATTAATCCAGAAAGAAAATTTTTTAGAAGTTTATTTCATTAAATTCATCCAGTAAGTATAAAATCAATTTGCCATTAATTCAATTAAAGAGGAACTATTCATTTATTTCTATTAAAACGTAATAAAATGAAGCCGATTGATTAATCCAAATAAATTAATGTAAAAAGTAGAAACTCTCGATTTATGTTTTTATATGTCTCAATATAAATTGGTTTTTCAGAATCGTCCATTTGATAATTACGTTGCTGATCCAATATTTTCTGATGAGAGATTTGGAAAAACTGACAGGCTCGTTGCGCATCGCTTTGATCTACTTTATTGGTGCTCTTGCTGGGAATTTGGCCAGTGCAATATTTGTCCCTTACAGGGCAGAGGTGAGTACTTAAACTATCATAGATAGGGGGGTGATTTGGGACAGAACTTTTGTTAAATGATATCCATATATGAGTCATTAGAGAAAATTAAAAAATTATCTCATCTCTCTTTTACTTGATATATCTGAATATGTATATTATGGTATGAACACATTAAAAGGACCCTATAGTTGTGTTTTGTCGACTCAATGAGACTTACACACGTATGATTTACATATTATTAACATTAAGAATTTAGATCACAAGTTGTAATTGAAACAAAAAACTATTTCATAATCCTTTTTTTAGATGAACCAAAATTGAAATTGAAACCAAATACTATAATATAATTTATAATACCAAAATTATAATTAAATCGGTAAAGTTATTTTCGATTTACGATTTTTTTTACGGTACACATATTATTAATAATAGTTTAATAATAACGGACTTACTATTAATAAAGAACAACATTATTTATAAAAAAAACACAGTCAATAAGAAATTGCCTTTAACGGTCGAGCTGGATCTTAGGTGCTATTATAATTCCGTGTGAATTTATATATTACGTATGTAGTCTTTCAAACCGCGCGCGAAACAATTTTTCGGTCTTGAAACTCCACTCTGCGAAACTACTGCAATTTTGATGATCATAGCATCTTGAATCAATTTATAAAAGATTTATAAAAGAATTACCTTTATGAATATATATGCTAATAAGACTTTTGTTATCAAATAATGAGATTATTTTTTTTATTTTAATTATATTTTTTCATTCTCATCATCACAAACAATATAAAGTTTGTTCAAACTTTTAAGAAAATAAAGTTACATACATATATTATATATATATATATATACTAATTCATTAATCAAATAATATGTTCTCAATACGTGAAAAAAAGTCCTTATTATGAGATACCGAGTTCATCTTGGCTAAATGCTGGAAGTACGATTTTACTCCATCACTACATGAAGAATTTATATATATTGCCAAATATTTATTTATTGAATGATAAACAAAGCTTAAAGACTCATATCTCAATAAAATTTGAAACATCCAAATTCTAAAATCTTTTTACGACTACGGGCATAATCTAATAATGAATTTTTCACTAAATAGCTTTTAATCCAAGAGCAATAAATGCATAGTGGAATCAAGAGATAGCGTTTATTAGTTTGTTAGTAAAAACGCTGCTATCTCATAACAAGCCTGTCTCATAATAGAGGGCTTTTTTCTACACGTATATTGTATGTACATTTGTATAGATAGGGTGTCCTGAAATTCGAGAACAATATTATGACAGTGCAAACTTCCTGAAAATTAAGTAATAAAAGTGCAAGCCATGATGATTCATCATAAGCGTTGGTTAAAAAGTTATCTGTCCGTGCGATAGTGTGCATGCAGCGGCAATGTTTTGTTTAGTATCCGACGGTATTGCACGTAACAAAGAATAATTTTTCAATCAACTTATGATTATTTAAACTTCAATCAAACTTGAAATGTTTATACTCGAAAATTTACTTTATGGGTAAAAATGGCTTGCATTTCTATTGCTTAATTTTTTACAAAGTTTCATGCTGTCATTAGTATTGTCCTCGAATAGTTCTTTCGGGACAATCTGTATATATTATATATTATACATTATATTCAGATAGCCAAATGAATTCAAGATGCCGTCATATTACTGTCAGCCGTTGCAATAAATATCAACAAACTAGAGACAAGGTGCTTCCTCATTACGTGTGAAATGATATCCTTGAATTTTAAATCTGATAACAAGGCGACAGCATCTTGATGGCATATAAAACGTTAGACATCATACGTGCTATCAGTTTGCTAGGTCACCGGCACGATACTACGAGTTCATACGCGTGCCGTCATTTTGCTATTGACATGAGATGTTATTAATTCTCAACGTTCACTCTTGAAATTTCATGAACTGCAAATGATGTCTATTTGCTCTTATGTTGCTAACTTAGTTTACACGTAAGATTTCGATATCAGCAAACTGACGACAACTTCACAACAACTCGTGCAGTACATTAGTTCATCGAATATGCTAAATCACGCGCTTGGCTATCTGAGTATGTACAGGGTGTCCCAAATTTAAATGGCCAAATTTCGGTAGCGAGATGTGAGAAATGATAATGGAATCGACATCGAATTGATGTCGATTCAAAATCATCAAATCAACGTTAATTCGACGTCGATTCGATTGTCATTTCTTTCTGGGAATAATGCATATTTGTGGAAATTTATCATAATAACAGTGTCATTAATATTATTCATTTTATTTATAGGTTGGTCCAGCCGGCGCACATTTCGCTCTACTTGCCACGTTGGTAGTCGAAGTGCTGCATTGCTGGCCGATGCTAAAGCACCCGCGTCGCGCACTGTCTAAGCTAATCCTGATTCTGTTGGGACTGTTGACGCTGGGTATTCTGCCATGGATAGATAATTACGCGCATCTATTTGGCTTCATCTTTGGCTTTTTAGCGGCCTACGCACTGATGCCCTTTATCTCGTTTGGTCATTATGACCGTAGACGGAAGATCTTACTGATTTGGGTCTGCATGATTCTGATTGTGGGCCTGTTCGCCTTGTTACTCGCCCTCTTTTACAACGTACCGGTGTACGAGTGTGAGGTGTGCAAACTGTTCAATTGCGTGCCGTTCACCCGCGACTTTTGCGCATCCCAGAACATCAATTTCAAACGAGAGGAGCCAGTATGACATACGGAGCCGCGGTTCACAGTCGAGCGCGAATTTGTTCCGCTCGGCTCCCGACTTTACGCTCCTCATCGTACACATCACTACAATATTATGCCATTACCATTCGCCGCGCTCGTTCTCACGACGCTCTTCGTAGACTCCCAAAGACGCGACTGAAGCCACAAGATCGATCGGAGCTGAATAAAAAAAGACTTTTCCGTTAACTATAGTTTGAAATCTTCGAAATTGTTCAAAGTCTTAATTGTACGAAGCTGCAGAAGAAGGTTCTTTAAAAACAATCAGAAAAAAACATTTATCAAATCTTTAAGAAACATATAAAAAAAGATATGAAAAATTTTTTAATTCTTTGGAGAAATTAAACGGAGAATTCTGGAGGAAGCTATAAATGAATGTAATAAATTTGTTTTTGAGATTCTCTTGAAGAAATTGGAAGAAGGTCAATAAATATTTCCTTCATTCTGGCTAGAAGAAATATCAGAAAAAAGTTGTTTCTTCAGTTTTCGAAAAGATTATAAAAGAAAAATTAATAAATGTTTTCCTTTATTGTAGAAACAAAGAAATGAAAAGAAATACGAGAAATCTTGTTCTAAACAAACTAGAAAATATAGAGGAATAATTTATCTCTGATAAAACTGAAAGAAAAATGAAAATAAACATTTTGTTAACCTTCAATATTTAATGATCTCATCGAGCTTCGAGGATTTCATCGAGGAAATCATCAGATTTGCGTTATCGTAGTTGCAAGATTGTGGACCGCAAACTTTGAAGATAATCTTATTACTTGAAGACTCTCTCTGCGCTTCCATGATGCTATTCGAATCATCTGAAATTTCGCGAACTCAAGTTCTACCTTCAAAGCTCTAGAGTTTCCGAATTTTCCGAACTTTGAAAAAATTCTACGATCATTTTTTGATCGGCCTGCGTTATTAAGAGTAATATATCATGGTGCTCGGGGACATGGGGGTTTGATAGTGCCTGGATCGAGCGGGTGAAGGTGGTGAATCCCGACCGACATTTTCGCTACTGCCAACGAACGTTAGAGAGGAACTCGTGTTCGTCGATACGCACGACGATGCCTTAACATTATTAAGTCCCAGCGTAGTGAGTGGCTCCCGATGTGAGCTGGCTGGGGCCCAGCGGGCCTTGAGGGAGCCCAGAACTCTGCATCGCCGACGGAGTGTAAATATATACGCGGGTCTTAGATGTCCCGCGACGATGACGAATAGATGCTCCATGGATTGTTTGGAATCTCGCAGAGTTTGGCACGGTTAGCATCCATCTCCTCGAGGTGTTAACAGGATAATGAAAGAGGAGAGCCAGTTGTAAATAGGATCAAGTCTTGTTACCATTGTAAGAGCGACTTTAGTAAGCTAACTTTAGGGAGAACCTTGAAAGTGCGCACGTCTTTCGTCTCTGCACGATATAGTCCCCCGCACCTCCGACATCCGGAACTATTGTCTGTGATGGCTTGATCTTGGAAATATTTTTCGTAGCACCGCGACGGCCGTAATGACGATGGCCGCGAGCCTTCCTGCAGGAATGATCGGTGAATGTTCATCATCTGGATATCAATCAATTGCTCGCTTGATCATGCGAAACATTCGCAAATTTCAACTTAGTATATTTGTAGAATAAAGGCAAAATTGCAAAATACACACATAAATTTCTCATCAAAACGTTCTATAAAATTTTCTTTTTTGTTTTATAATATTATTCACATTATAAAACTAACTTTAAATAATTATTGGACAGACAGATATTTTAAATAAATGTTTTATAATTTTTAGCATAAAATATTATGATATCTATATATCGATAAAGTAAAATTTGAAAAATCGAAAGAAGTGTTTCTATTTTTATTATGAATCATGTGTTGATAAAATAAAATTTCAAAAAGTCAAAGGAATTGATAAATTTTTATTACAACGTTTTAACTTGACATTTATTTCAACTAACGTTATTTTCACAATTGCTTTCATATAATTAATATTAATAGAATTATATTTTAAATTATCTTAATCATAATTTAATTACTTTGTATTTTATTTTGGCTATTTTAATTTTTGTAACAAAAGCGAATTTCAATATTATGTAATAGTATTAATTATTTAATTAGAATAATAATATAATATTGATAATTAATGCAATCTTATACGACATTTTAATATCAAGATTCGTGTATCTAATTACGACATTAAAAAATTTTTTTCTACAAAATTTTCATATAATTTTAAATGATACAAATTTTACATTATCCTGATAATGTCGAATATTACAAAATTGTAGTCTACAACAAAATATGTAATGCATACAATATTGCGAGAAATTATTATGAATCCATTTAATAGTATCCAGATGATTAGCTCCTCATCGAGGATAGGAGGGAAGGGGAGGTCTGAGGCAGAGGAGGCGGAAGGAAAGTGTTAACGATTTAAGGCGAAACGAATCAATTTTTTATAACGGCGTGAGAGAAAACGAGAGAAAGGTAGTGAGAAAAAGGGAGGCACGAATATCAGAATTCTTAATCAATTTCGAAGTCTGTATATACATTTGCGACAACAGCATAAGAGAATGTGAGAGAATACAAGAAAAGCAGTGTGAAAGAAACAGATATGCGAGACATTCGCGCGAAATATAATTTGACGATTTAAGGCAGTGTGAAAGAAACGGATATGCGAGACATTCGCGCGAAATAATTTGACGATTTTGTTCTGGGGATTGAAATCGTGTTATTTTTAACGGGAAAATGGAGATAAGGGATCAAATTCCGATGTTAACATTATGTGAAAATGGAAGCGCTTTTTCACCTATTCTACTACGTGTAGTAACGGAAAATCACATCGGTTTCAATCCCTATTTTATTCCACTTATCACGAGTGTATGTATACCGCCCCGAAAAATTTCCGGACATAGCAGCGAAATTTTTGAAGCTTTGATTCATTGAACTTACCGTAGCACCGCGATTGAAGTGAATTAAATCAAAGGTGATTGTATCATATTCTAGAACAAATACAATTGTAATTCGCAAATCATTCTTTTTGAAATGTAATCTCAAACGCCTTTACTTAATATACATTTACTTAAATATACCTAAAATAACGAGAAACGGTAATGTCCGGAAATTTTTCGGGGGTAGTACTGTACGCGCGCATATTCCATTTTATTATATAAATTGTCTTACAATTAATTTCGCATAAATCTTTGAAATTATTCTTAAATATGATCACGTCGATTCCAACGAGAGTGCTCGTTTTATTATTCGATTTAGACAACAAAAGAAATTTCGAGGAACACATTGAATAGGAAAGTGCTAAAATTCAATAGATAAAAAAAATTGCGATCGAGATGATTAGAGCAGGAAATTTTTCCGCACACACGTTTACTACCTTCTTCCACATATAATATTTCTATATAGCTATGCTAATTGTTGTTAATTTATTCCTTTAACTTCATGATTCTTGTATACTTCTTTTTACAAAATAGTTGAAAGGACTGTGCAACGTCCGCGGCGACGCTTTGCCAAATTTTGTATTTCACCAGGTACTTATACATTATTAGCATAACACGTATACATGCGACCATGACTGTAATTAACAAGACGTCATTTTCAAGCATCATCATACCGATTACTATATGATTGTCATTGCTATTGCTCCAGCATTTAATCCAAATTATATTTGGAAACTTTGTGATATGCGATGATCGAGCGAAGAAACCGAAGAGATTGAGACAGAAAGGAAGTTGTGTGTATGTCGTGTGCGCGCGTGTGTGTGTGTGTGTATATGTGTGGCGTATGTCTGCGCGCGCGCGTGTGTGTGGGGGTGATCAATAGCTCTATTAAACTTTTTTTCGGATTATATATATAAATATTATAAATATAAACGTATACATACGCGAGTTAAGGTGGATCGTCGATGACGAGCAACGTATTGTTATTATTGTAAATGTGTTATATACAGATAATAGCATGCAACAGACATATACACATACACACATACAACACGTACGATATACACAAAGTACATATATAAACAATCATATATACACGTACACGTATACACTGATGGAGATAAATAAATTGAGAACTTTCGATAATTCCATACCGATCACGGCGAGGTGGAATGTCTCGCCTTCCCTCGCGGAGGCAAGAGAAGAAGAGAGTGAGAAAAAGAGGGAAAAAGAGGTTAATTTTATCCCGATTGTGGTTGTTGTAGAAGCCAAAAATCACGGGCAAATTGCGCGATCAAACTTTTTCATTTCGTGTGTCTTACGTGGCTCTACATGGCAAAAGTTTTGAATTTGTTATATGGGTCTCAATTTATATTTCAAGAGTTATGCGATGTCTTTATTAATTGTAGAAGATAAATAGAGAGTTTGTAATAATCCAACAGAATCTTAATAATGTTTGAATCACACAAGCAAGTCAGAATAGGAGGAGATAGGAGATTTCAAAGAATTACGTATTGAATAGAATCATGTTGTTCCGAAAGTTTTTCTTTTCATTGAATTGGCATACAATTTCCAAGATACCAAAAGTTTGAAAAGATTCTTTGTCAATAAAAGAGTTTGGCCTTTGTAAATAATAGATTTAGAATATTTTATTTATCCAAAAGAGAGGCACTGTGTAAATGTTAAGTAATTTAAAAAATTCAAAAACCAGAAAAACTTTTTTAAAACGTTTGTTTTACGAACTTGTATATATTCTTCTTGTTTATTTATCTTACTCTTTGTTTTCCTTTACGATAAATCTTACGCTTGTCTAAAGTTTACAAATTACAATAAATACCTTATATAATTATTAAGAATTTAGTTATTATTTATCATCAATATATTATCTTTATTACGAAGGAGATATATTTCTTGTATGTTTTTTGGTTCATTTATAATTTGTATTATTTATATTTTATATTTTACAAAAGGATAAAATAGAAAAATTATCTTGGTAAGCTCCACAAATCTCTGCTCGCGCGGTTGACTTGTAATTTTTGCGATGAGGCGAATCACCGCCTTGTAAATAAACGTATGCGTCAAAAATGGACCAAGGATCTACATAGTACAGCTCGTGCGTGTAAAATTGATCGGCAGGTAGGATTGTAAGTAAAGTTACAACTAATCCTAATAATTACGGAGGAACCCCGCAAAAGATAGGCGAATTCAGAGGGGGATTCACGAAAATTCTCTTGCGAAATAAGAATCTTACAATTAGTTTTCATAGTTACGAATCGGCTAGACACTTAATACTGTTTTTAAATAGACATTTTTCAATATTTTGTCGAAGTTGTCTAACACAACGCTTTTCGGCAATGCTTTTTCATCCCTTTGTGTTTTGTTTAAATTTACGAACAAAGCTTAAACTAGTTTTTAGATAATTAGGGCTATTTTTTGTACTTCCGATTTAATGAAACACACAGTGTAATCATTCAGTCCATTAAATAGCAAAATATTAAAAAATTTTTTTCTATTTCGGTATTTTTTTTTATAAATATAGACAATTGAAGTAAAACGCAAACTACGAAATTATGAATTGAGAATATGAAGCAATAACGATACAAGTTTAGTTGCTCTTACAAAATTTTGAGAAAATTTACGTTCTAACGGATATGCAAGCGCAAGAAGTTTTGTATTATATTTGAATCAAATTGTGACTTCAATGATTAATGATTTAATTTCGCATAATGGATTTTTGTACATCTTTCTCTTAAAATTCGCTTAATTTTTGCGGTGTAAATAAAACTGACGGCGGCGCTAGCTTGTAATTAATTAATTAATTAAGGCTCTCGCGCCTCTTTTATATAAATATTATACATATATATGTATATTATATACGACTTAAAAAAAGAACATTCCACCACAGCCGCGCGGTATTATTTTTCTGTATCCCTGTAACTATGAAAGCGCGATATAAGTATTAAGAACGGACTTTAAGGGAATATATACGACTGTACTAATTAAAAGGATTGATCAACTTATTATTAAATCACCATCATTATCATTATTATAATTGCCATTGTTAATATCATTGCAATAATTATTTCACCCTCGGTTCTCACTATAATCATCAACATTCTTTCATTATTATTAATAATCATAACATTACATTGTACTTGTCGCTGTTATATACATACACATATAAATATATAAATATATAAATACATATAAATATATAAATATATATATACGAATGATATATATATTAATTTAATAACAATAAAGAAAAATGTGAAACACACGTGATCTAATTGTGAGTGTGGATCAACGATCCTTTCTTCAAACATAACATCGGCGAGCATTTGATCAAGTTAATTATTATGCATTCAGTATACTTTTCCACTAATTCGTCTTTAATTAATTTTATCTATACGTTTTCATTTTGTAAATTTTCTCTGAAACACTATTTTAGTTTAATGTATGTTTAAGGACTCATTACTCATCATCACAAAATCCCTCACATGGATCTTTTTTTTTTTAATACTTATTTACTCGTAATAAGTCCCCACTACGAGACCCATTGCAGCAAATTCTGCAGTCTCAATTACGTGAGTTGAGTACGTGTCTCTTTGAACGTCCCATAACTTACCAAAACTTATTTGCACGTTTTGTCCTAATTTTTGGACGATCGACATAATAACCACAACTTTGTATCTGGAAGTAGCAATAAAATAGGCTGAAATAATTTCTCGCATAAAAAATGGATTTTTATTACTCAAATAGCATAAATAATAAACATTTCAAAAACACGTTTTTATAAAACTAAAATATAATACAGTAGAACTTTGGTCATTTTTCTAACAAGAAAAGGAGATCATTGTTATTTTTATCTAACAACATATTTTATATATATATATATATATATATATATATTGTATATATATAGATAGAAATTATTTTAATTACATCTTTAAACATAGTTAATTCCGTTCTTTAATTACATCTTTAAGTACAGTCAATTTTATTTTTCTTAAAATCTTAAACATAATAATTATTGATATATAATAATTCGTTGGTACAATATATGTATATAGGAAGATCAAATATATAAATATATATATAGATATACGTCGTTCGATAAGTCTATGCAAAGTCTAAAATATTGCCAAACACAGAGTAATAGATCTATCTCACTGAAATTCGATGTCCTCCAAAAGAGTTGCCGAATACTAAAAATAATCTCGATACGTACTGGTGGTGCTGTATTTTAGACTTAGCATAAACTTATCGAACGATCCTCGTAGATGGATAATTCTTTATGATTTAGAAGCTCTTTTAGATTTTCGGACTCGTGAAGCTGATCTGTTTTTCGCTGCAATATCTCGCCACTTTTGCATCGTGAACACGTCGGACGAGTGTGCATCTTGTTGTTCTATGTACGCCAACGCAAGTTTAAGAGCGGACACAGCATCTGAGTGAGAAATTTTGTGCGTAAGCTGAACCGGCTCAACCAGCTCTTCGTCAGATTCAGACGATGACTCTTCCGAAGATTTTTGTCCAACAATGGCCAGTATCTCTGCGTCCGTATAATCTAATTCTCTGTCGTCACCTGTTATCCATTCTTCAATGTTTGTTTCCATAACTTGTTCCGGTCCAAGGAGAATCTTTGCCATTTCTAATAATTTATCTCGTGACTCCTCTGCTTCTTGTTTACGAAGATCGGCATCTAATAACTCCTCTTCTTGCTTGACAATCTTATGCCACGACTTTCTCAAAATTTCTTGTTCTACATCCTTCCATGATTGAGATATCCAAAACACCACCCTCTTCAAATTGATTTTCTCGAGACTCTCGATCAATGTTTGACCGTTTTCACGTGCCTCTAAAAGAAATGTTAAGAGGTGAAATCGGTATAGCCGCTTTAAGTTTAAGAAAACACCTTGCTCCATGGGCTGGATCAATGACGTCACGTTAGTTGGGAAGAATTTCGCAATGATATCGCCATTGTGTAGTGTATCTATGTTTGGATGTGCAGGTGCATTATCGATATACAAAATGGCCTTCCTCGGAAGTTTCATCTTCTTCAAATGTCTTTCAACCTTTGGCACAAATTGTTTATGGAACCACACTTTAAAGAGCATAGGGTCCATCCATACATTTTTCTGGTGTTTATAGTAAACCGGCAATTGTGAAGATGAAAGATGTTGTAATGCTCGAGGATTTGCGTATTTTCCAATGACCATAAGACGTATTTTATGATTACCAGTAGCATTACTACATGCTAATATGGTTATTTTTTCCTTGTTCCGATTGTTACTTGGACCTAATGATTCTTCATGCCACGCCAGAATTTTAGTAGGTAACATTTTGTAATTCAAACCTATTTCGTCACAGTTATAAATCTGTTCTAAACTATAACCTCCTTTATCGATCGTTCTTCTAAATTTTTCATTGAAACCGCTCACTGCGTCATCATCTCCAAAGAATTTTTCTCCACGAGTGTTAAATTGCATAAGTCGTATACCATATCTCTTTTTCCATCTATCAAGCCAGCCATTGCTGGCTGCAAAATATTCCTCCTGAGTTCCCTCTGGCAAATGCGAGTATAGTGACAAGGCTTTTGCCTTTAATATCGATCCCGTAATCGGAGCGCCTTTTTCCCTTTGTTGCAGAAACCATAAAAATAAGGCTTCTTCCACTTTCGTGTGTTCTGTAAGCTTCATTGCTTTACGTTCAATAGGGGTTTTCGACTTTTCCGTCCATGCCTTTAATTTCGCACGATTGCGTATCCAGTCACCGACGGTGACTCGTCCAACGCCAAACTTGGCAGCGACCTTTTTATGACACTCCCCTTTATCAATGCGTTTAAGAGCTTCAAGCTTTGTTTTAAGTGGAATACAGACTTTCTTGCGTTTCGGAGCCATTGCACGCGTTACAGGGCGAACGAAGCGAACAAATATGACGTTTACATTGGAACAATGATACCGGATGGAAGACGCGGCGGCTGTCTCAAAGAGTAGGTACAGGTGTACACACACAAAGAAGCACATACATCCTCTTCTTTGTGCGCGTATTCCCCAGCGCACATTGACACACAGGCTCTTTTTGTGTACGTATCCCTTCCATCTATCTATCAGTAGAGTCGCATCTTCCATCACTGTACGGTAGCGCTACGCTCGATAGCGAAGTCGGATAATCCTGGGGTTGGATGATGCGAGGTCGGTTAATCAGGGTTCTACTGTATTAAGTAATCGGAGCATGCTATAAGTTCATGTCGATAGCACATTCACGGCCGATTTCTAAATATTTTTTTAATATGCCACCGATAAAAAAAATTTTATTTCAAATTGCAATGTAAATAATCTATGGAAATTTATAACAATTTGAGCTCTAGCTTTAAAATTGTAATATTTGCACTTTAATGGCCTAGTTAACATCTGGTGCACTTGATATATAAATATTAACTAATAACTTTCTATTGAATTATTTTAATTTCGGTGATACGTGTAAACATATACATAATATATATATATATATATTGAATTAATCATTTTAATATATATTGTACTAATTTAATACATCATTTTTTATAAATACATTGCTGAAATTGAAATAATTTAATAAAACGTTACTTTAGTACCCATATCAAGTAAACGATGTAAAGCGGGGAGCACAGACTTTTGCATAACGCATAAACCATAAAGAATTTGATTGGTCCATTGACTCATGCATAAGAAAATGGGCCAATGAAATTCCTTATGCACATGCTTTATGCGTTATGCAAAAGTCTGTGCTCCCCGCTTAAGCCAAGGTTGTAACATATCTTAAGTCCAAAACACAATGCGAGGGAATAGCGATAGCGATAGGAATAACACAGTTTCAACTTATCAGAAATCGGATACACCGGAATACACAGTTTTTGATAGGTTGAAACTGTGTTATTCCTATCGCTATCAATGTTATTTCCTTGCATTATGTCTTTGGCTTTATGTGCGCAAACCTTGTTTACATCGAGTGCTTAGGGTGGAATCCTATGAGGCGTATTTACCGCGTATCGCGTAACCGCCTAACCAATCAATAATCAGTAATAGCGTTTTCCACTGGGAAAACTGGTGCAACACTGAGTGCACATTGAGTGCAATTATGTGTTATTCCACTCTGAAAGCTAGTTCAGCGTTTAATGTTCTACTAACACAACTGGACTGGAAAAAATTACACTGAGTTCAACTTTTGCTCCACTGTCTTTAAAGACGATGAAAGAGTAAAGCCTATTCTACAATGATTGTAAGCCACAAAAATTGACCAATCATAATCGATTATTCTCCTCATATTCGATTACGATTGGTCATTTTTTATGGCTTACGGTCGTTGTAGAATAGGCTTAAGTTAGTGCAAATTAAAATTGAGATTGTTTATGCGCTTTCAAATACGATCATACGTTGAGGTATGTCATTTAAATTATTTTAATTAATAGTAATGATGTTATTTTCAGTTTTTGCTTATCTCAAAATAGCTGACATTACTATTTTAATATTCAAAACCATTAAACTGATAAAAAAAATAATAAATCATTGAGAATATGTTAAAGATTATAAATTAAACAAATTAAAAAGTAAAATAAGCAATTTAAATTTATGTGACAGCGAATGCGCGCGACGTATCCAGCCGCGCGCTTGCATTATTTGATGGTGTGCCAGGCGAATCTAAATATTTTTATAAATTAATATCTTGTTAACTATTGCGAAAATTGTAAAATGATAGAAGACTTTTCTTCTCAATTTAGTCCATTCTATCTCTATACGACAGATTTTTTTATTACTTGTCAAACACCATGTATAAAGAGAAGCAACATCGTAAGAAGGGGATTTAAAAATATTACCATAAGATTATATACAAAAAGCGTAGAATGCAAAATATAAGCGAACAGCTTGGCAGCCACGTGTGTCAGCTGTGTAATCAGCTGCGATCACAATATGGTTCATGCAGTTTCACTTAGGAGTGGATATCCAATCAGAACATATAGCAGACTGCCTATCAGAAACTGCGACATCAATGCTGCTTCTCTTTAAGGTACCGTTTCATGCTGACGCTTGACGCTCATTTTTAGCGTTAAAATTATGTGATAAAAATTGACGAATATCAAGCATTAATTTTTATCACATGATCTATTTTGACGCTAAGAATGAGCGTCTAGCGTCAGCATGAAAAAGCACCTTTATATATAGGACCCTAGTTACTACCGAGTAATACAGACACAAACCACGACCATTTTCAACGCTACGATTTTATCGGTGTGTAAGAAAAATGGACGTGGAACGTAGTTTCCGTATTTTAAAAATGTACGTTGGTGCGTTAACATAACAGTGAGTTAGGGTATATACATCTAAAGCCTATCGCACATGAAATGCATAATAGAGCATGAGCATAACATAAAACTGTTGGACCAATAAGCATCCAGCATAAAGCTGCCATATTGATTAACATAAGATGCTCATTGGTCCAGCGGTCTTATGTTATGTTTATGCACTGTTATGCATTTCATGTGTTTTGAGCTTTATTAATTAGGCGAGAAACACACACTTTTGCATAACGCATAAAGCATGTGCATAAGGAATTTCATTGGCCCATTTTCTTATGCATGAGTCAATGGACCAATCAAATTCTTTATGTATATGGTTTATGCGTTATGCAAAAGTCTGTGCTCCCCGCTTAAGACTGCAGTATAGATTTTTGCATAACGCATAATGCATAGTGCATAAAGGAATCAACCAAAGAAAATCTTTCCTTTTCCATTTTATCGAAAAGAGGAACTCCAATTAGTTGATTCCTTTTATGCACTATGCATTATGTAAAAGCCTGTGCTACGATAATAAGAGTACATCCACACAAACTTATATAGCAACATTTTTTCATCATTTTATATAACAAAGACTTTAATATGCACTAGTGCGTATTTAATGCGTCTAATTTAATTTACTGTAATACATTTGTTTAATTGATCGATATCTTACCGATCGTAGAGCTCCCTACAAATTTTATCGCGCACTTCCTTTGACATTCTCTGGCAGATTTGCATGCAAACTTGAGATTGATATTTTAAACCAATTAAATAATCCTGCATAACATCAATTAAAATCTTATCAACAACTTCACTATTAAAAGGCTTGTAAGCTTCCAAACGATAAGTATTTTGGTACTTCGGAATCTGAAAGATAATTTTTGTGCATCTTAATTTAAAATATCACATACGTCATGTAATCTCTATTCTGTAAATAATTAATAAAGTTATCATGATTAATTTTTAAGTGCACTACAAATATATTGTATTTATTATCTACAATCTTTTATTTATTTCTATTATAACTTTTGAGATTATACATTTCTACAAAACTACTGCGTACAATTTTTTTTCATCTTGCTGCAATGTTGGGAATTTTTATGTGAGATACCTTAAAGCCGCTCTTATCTGTGCGAAAGAATAGGCCTGACTTTGGTATTCCAGTAAGAGATAGACTACTAATATAGGTTTTGGATCGAACAGCTCTACTGAGAATAGACCATGCTTTCGACATGGGTTGTTGCGCTAATAATTAATAATATATCCAGTATATCCAATTATTATCGTTTGTTTTATGTGTATCAAATTATAATAGTAATAATTATTAATACATGTTATAACAAGACTTTTTGTTTCAATCTTTTAAGTCATTATTAATTAAAACTTACTTGTACTCATGTTCGTCAAAGAAATTTTACTTCAAAGTATAAAATAATTCATAAAATTGTGTATTGTATATCAAATAGCAATTAAAATAACTTCCAAAAATTTCATTTATAATTCTTAATTTCAACTTCCTTGAAATTGCCACATTTGTATTTTTATTATCGACCTATCTCGTCGATTTCGTTGTTTTTATAACTGGCTAATATATTACTATATAATATACATATATATATGTGTGTCGTACGACATTCAACAACTCTCCCCCTCGTAGTTCTCCTTCCTTTCTCTCTTTATTTCTACTTCCCTTCCTAGTCTTGTTGCCTACTATTTTCCGATTTATTTGTTTGTATCTTCTTTCTTTAAGACCCGTATTTATAGTTAGACCTTATATTTAAGGCTTAATTCCTTAAATTTATCTTTAGATGCTCACAGTAGCCAATAAAATAATTCATAGAGCATCTGAAGATAAACTTAAGTTTTAGTCAATGTCCAAAGATGTTATAAATTAAAAGTTAAAATTGACTCTCACACCCATATTCATAGTCAAGCCTTATATTTAAATATCAGGCTTGACTATGAATATGTGGACTAGTCAAAACATACTTTTAATATTATCGTACTTTACCTATTTTCATCGAACATAAGTTATAATGAGTCTCATCATTTTTATATTTTCCCGAACCAAAATGTCTGAGTTAACATTGGTAATAACCCGATAGATGTCGAAACATTTATTTAGGAAGGAAGGAATCGAATATTGGTGGAATAAAAATCATATAATGGAATTGATATTGTGCTCGTAAAAAAATATAATTTGCGTGATCGGGCACAAAGGATGCAACACATTATATGCACTTGATATAGTATGAACACAAGGAAAATTGGATTATCAACTTTACAGTTTATTCTTGGACGGTATCTGTTTGATATTTTTGCACAATATATTAACACAATTATTATTTTGTCAACTTGATAAAAGAATACACACAATATTGATATATCGTTATAATATTAGGACATTCTGGAGTCTTGCCCAAGTCAAAGTTGATTGTAACAAAAATATATACTATATATATATATATATATTGTATATATATTTATTTATTATACTCTTTTATGTCTAATAATCTGTGCGGAGGATAGATCAGTGCTGATAATTCTTTTCCCTAAGTTCTTGCGAAACGGGTATGTACAACGTACTTGCATTGATCTCTCACCTTTTTCACACCGAGGTATATAATTAAATATCTTTGTATTATAGACTGATTATCTTGCGAGAGCATTCCTTCGGAATTTGTTTAAATTGTCTAATATTTACAAAATTATTGAAAAGAATACCTTATTTGAATTTATAATATTAAGAAATGAAAAAATCTAAATAGTCTTATAAGACTTGAATTTTAACGAATTTATTATACTTTTCTTGTAAAACTTAGAAATTGCATTGCTGAACAAATTATTGTAATACAAAGATGTTACACTGCAATTATAGTTTGCGTGGAAGAAGAATTACGCTTACTGACCCTGCAAAAAATTTGTGTAGATATTAAAAAGAATTAACTGACGTTCGGTTTACATTAACTATATATATATATATGATTGAGTTGAATTTCATGTAATTGTCATTAGCAATTAACTTAAATATTTTTTCATTTTTTTCAACAAGATAAATCATTATTTAATTATATCATTTATACATATAAATAAGAATAAAAAATGTTTAATATTTAAAAATGTAGATAGAGTAGGTAGGGTTTTTCCAGGCTAGAATAGTAAATCTTATCAGCGATAGAATTTATGTTTTTAAATAGTGCATATTTAACATATGAAAGAAACATTTTTAAGAAGTAGTTGTAACACAAAGGGAAATTGTTTGCTGTCATGATTGAAGTTCTTGTGATAATTAAAGGTAAATACATTGTCATTTTCATGGTCATTTCAATAGAAACCTTTATATCATTTTTAAGTTATAACTTTTGTATACGAATGAATTATTTTCTTACACTATTCGTTTTAAATGGGCGGAATAACTTCACTGATTTCGATCTTGTAAATTTCACATTGGTTTATATATTTTTTTTCTCTGTTGTATGTTAATTTTTATATTTACAAGAGTTTATGTTCAGTAACCCATACAACACATGGACGCTCATCGGACATCCAAAGAAAATCTGAGTTCCACGGGCGTCACAATAACCGCCCATTTGACGCCTATTGGACATAATCGAGGCAAAAAATGGGTACAAAATGAGCATAAAATGGGCATTCTTCTTTTTTTTTCGACCGAATCAGGTCATAAAATGGTCAAAAAGGGCGTCTACTTTTCGAACGCATCCTTCCATGTCCAATAGGTGTCCATGTGTTGTGTGGGAATAAAATAGTTAAAGCTAGGACTCCATGCGGTGATCAATCAGGAGCCAGGCGCATGCCGCATTCGGCAGGAGTCAGCAGGAGTCCGGCATGTGCCTGGCTCCTCGCATGCGTTTGCCGCAGCTCACTACATACATGGAGTCTTAGCTTATGTTTGAAATATAATTCGGTATGTGAGACACTCTTTTCTGAAAATTTTGCAATCACTTGGAAGTTAAAATTGACGAAATAGTCCCGTTCTATCCTATAATAAAATATATATATAGAAAATTTTTTAATTTCGATCGTTTTTGCCACTATTATGAAAGAAAGTAAATTACTAACAATAAGAAATACAAATGTTAACAAATAGTAGAAAGAATAAAAGACAGAGAGAACTAAAGAAGATATACAAAATTATTGAAATAATTTTCTAAGTTAATCTCATAAAATGAATCATCGTCGATTTTTTTTTAATTCAATAATCTTTTGCAGGAAGAGTACCTCATATAACCTACAACAGTAAAATGTACAATGATGTCGGCCGGGCGAATATTTCAAAAGCATAATGTTCGCCACACAAGAAAAGTTTCTTCCTGTCGTAAAATCGAGTGTGCTCTGTGTAATAACATTCACAAAAATAACTTTAATAACGCTCATACATGAAACATCTGTCTCCTCGAGCCTGCACGCCTTTATTCACCATAACAAGGAAAAGGCCATTTTCTCGACATAAAAAACTATATAACGCCACGCCTTACAAAAATACTTCGCACAAGAATACAGTTTTTTGAACGGACGTACGTGCATCATTAACGCTCAACTACTGCAGTTTAATTAGAAGGATCATTTTCAACCCCGGGAATATTCATTGAACTTTTATTAGTCATTATTATTAAGGTTATTATAAAGATATTATTAGATCTCTTATTGTTTTATTTTATAATAGAAGGAAAAAGAAACATAATAGAAATATTGAATTGAATTGAATAATAAGATATTGGTCAATATTTTTGAACTTTATAAATCTCTATCGAAGTCAAATTTGATCCTGCTGTATTGTAGTTAAGAATAATTTTCACGCGTACGCTAAGTGCTCAAACTGTACATTAAAAATAATTAAACGAGACATGCTTAATTTACTGGAGATCGAAATTTTATAAGTTTTATTTAATCCTTAAACGTGTTTTGTGTGGATACGATTTTTTGAATAAAATAATAATACATATTTTTCTTTTGTAGTACAACTTATATATATTCGTCTTATTGTTATAATACATTGTACAGATTTAAAAATGTTTAAGAAACTACAGAGATATGGCGAGCGTTTGAAAAAATTATTTACCGATGGAGTGTACCAATTCGAGCACTATACGCGCACATGCACGCATACACACACATATACATACACATCCTAGCTATTGAAAGTGTTTCGCCGTTATCGTTCTTCAAGTAGCAACTTGAGAAAAAACGGGATGTGCGTCTTTTATGGTACATGGATAATATGAACATTATACTTTGTTGGCAATTATATTTACAAGACTTAAAAATCACACACCTAGTAAAAAATGACACGATTGTGTCTATTGCAATTCGCAATAGGCACTTTCGTTCTATTCTCCCTCTTGAAATCGATACCATCGATTTATCTTACGATCATACTATACTCATCGAAATTTTAAGATCCTGAAGCCAGTTCACAATTCCTGGCTGCAAGGATCTAGAGATTTATCATGAGAATCTGTGATCAGAGATTCTCATAAATCTAAGGATGCAAAAAAATAAAAACCTAAACATGTCGAAGTTCTTAGATGCAAGAATATGCAAAGTTGACTTATGACTACTAAATAAAAATATTTCTTTTGTCAAAAATATTCAAGGGCGACATCCAAAATTTTCTTCCATTCAATATTAAAAAGAGAGGAAAAGAATATAAAATATAAAGGTTTCCGAATCTAAAGATCCAATTAAGAAATTTATTTATAGAGAATTTATTGTCGAAGTTTTATAAACCCGTTCGTCTAAAAAAGATTCTCTTTTGTTTTCTATAGCAGTTTATAATTTTGATGATTCTCTTTTTCAAAAATCCAGAGATCTCGATAATCTCATATGCGCGGATATCACTGAATAAGACAAAACCTTGAATTAATCGCCATATATGCTAAAAACATCTCGGTGAATAGCTTAATAAATAACGTACACGAGCAATCGCGTAGTGATCCGCACTGTGTTTACGTAAAACTGGTAAATTAATTTACGTTTGTGTCCTTTCATGTATTCTTTGCAGACTCGTGAAACATCTCCACCCTGCATTTCAAGTTCGAAGCACAATTGATCTGAAGAAATTCCTAAATAGAAATTATAATCCTAGCACTCGGACTTATCCTCTTCGACGAGTTGTTGAGTATCCTTCCCCGAGTCGATGGGCGTCGGGTCTAGTTCTCTTCTTTTTAAATGCAGCTGCGGAGGCTCTTTGTGCTGTATGCTGGAAGGCTTCATCTCCGCCGGTACTTCAAACATACTGCCAGTGCCGGTGCCATTCGTGGTACCGCTTTCCATATTCACCGCATCGTACATGGGATTACTGAAGTCTCGGTTTTTGTTTGTAACGTCGTTCAAATTGTACTCCACATCAAGAGGTTCCTTAAACATGGCATATGATAATTAGGAAAGGCATAGACAC